GACTGTGCCCGTTCACTTACAGCGCACAGGGGCCTGCTCTGTTTAATCTGAAGGCCTCAAGCAAGTTTAATTTACCTGGCAACGCAAGCTAGCGGAAATATGATTGGTTAAAAACTCTACCATAATAAATAAGTTATTTATCGAGTGGCTTTCAATGTTGAAAGCCACTCAACTAAGTGGAAATAATACGACGTAAAGAATACAGAGAATAATTTTGTTTACATATTTATGAAAATAAAATAACATAAATTATAAAATAACATAAAATACATAAAAGTAAATTTACTTTTCTGAGAATGTTTAGGCCAGCAGAGAAGGCCTTGCTGGCCCTGAGGGTCCGCCACTGATAGATAGATAGATAAATAGATAGGTAGATAGTATTTTTTGACCGTTGGTCTATATTTTGACAAAAGCAGTGTCACCTTTAATATGCTATAGCAGGAACGTGGCTCAATGTAATTCCAGCAAAATGAGAAAGAACAACAAATATTCGCTCTGCTGCTCTCTGGTGAGCAAAGCATTTATCAAGTCTAGAAAAACAAGACTAAAACATAGGGCACTACTTATTGCTGCGGGGAAAAATGAATATATCAGCATTACATTCGGAAAATCTTTATTTTATTGTCGTTTTTAGTGTTGCATTTCCGATTTTTTTCAGAAATGAAGCGCTCAGCCTTTACTTTGGAAACCTCGACTTGAGCGTGACCCGGAAACTATCCAATGTTATGCTAGTGTGTTTTCTTCCACTTCTGGACGGCAAGTACTGCGCACATTTAATACCGGAGACACGTATTCGCATCAGGTCGCGTTATTTTTCTTACGGCAATAACAAAAGGTGATATTGTTTGGAGGGTGTTTTAGCACGACAGCGGGGATTTAGAAGTTTAACGCGAGGCTACGTTGCTCTTCTACAAGTGGACTGTTTTAGTACACAGGCTAACTGTTTTATTTTCCTGTCAAAATTTGGGTCCAGGTTGGACGGATTTGACATGTCCTGCGGCTTGTTGGAGTTTTGTCGTCTCCAAGAGCTGAAGACAGTCAGGGACTATTTGTTCCACGGTCAAACTGAGCCTGTGGAGAACAATCAAACTGGTAATTGAAATCATCAGCACTGACAAACGAGGCTAATTCTTGCCTGCTCCTGGAAATAACACAGGGGCAGCAGTCCACGAGTAGTTTTTTTCTCCGAAAACCCATCGTTCTTGGTGTTTTGCACACACATGTATACAAATATGCTTAATAGCACTGCGTACGAATCTCTTGCGTACATTGAAGTGAGCTGTTTGCATTCCTCCTCTCCAGCTGAAAATGAATTTTCGTGGGACACCTCTGACTGGGAAACAGCATGGGACAGTGACAAGAGCAAACAGCAAGAAACCACATCGGCTACATCGGTTTGTCATGTCAACTTTTATCATTCTAAAATCACAACTTTGTCCCCGTAGATGTATTTGAGTTCATCTGCAAAAGTTAATGGAACACCAGTTGTTTTTGATTGATTCATTTATTTAATCCTTGGGGGATTGGGGTGTGGACAATGAGAGCAAGAAACTGATGGAGGAGAATGCTGAGTAATCATACAACTATTAGTTGCATTAGTGCCTACACATTGGAGTAGTGGTTATCAGGCTGCCTCGCCATTAAGAGATTCTCGGTGGGAATCTCGGCATAGTCCCTCCCTTAACTAGGTTTTCTTGTTTTCCCCCTGCTTGAGTAGGTTTTCTCAGGGGACTCTGGCTTCCTCCTCAACCCCCAAAATATACTTCTGAGATCTTAACGGAAGACTAAATTGTCCATAGGTGTGAATGCTTGTTTGTCTATATGTGCCTTGCGATTGACTGGCGACCAGTCCAGGGTGTACCCTGCCTCTCACCCAAAGTCAACTTGGATAGCTCACCCGGGACCCTTAAGTGCTATCAAAAAATTGATGGAGGAAGTGACAAATATTCTGTTGCTGTTGTTATTAGTGATGTTTCCCCACTAAACCTGTAGGTGGAGGAAACCACAGAGCTAAGTGGACCATGGCTACAGAACTGCACGGTGTCCCTCTCTCCCTGCTCAGATCTGCTTGTGGTGGCTCATGAGCAAAAGGCTGTCTTTCTCTCAGGTCAGGTGTCGACACAGACACAGAAACCTCTTTCAAGAGAAGATCACATAAATTTGCTGCATCAAAGCCCGAACAAAAAACGCAGGGCAGTATTTATCCAGTTGTGTCAGTGATACTGAACAGGTTGTTGCAACAAGTGTGTATGCACAGCAGCTAGTTCGATGCATGGCAATGTCTGCGCAAGTATGTGGTCACGTTAGACATGTAAATTTCAAGTAAAGACAGAAATGATTGGATCGCGATATGCGAGCATCAGGTGTTAATTTTCACACCTCTCTCCTGGCAATATCCACAGAAAAGGGAGATAACTCATCTCTTGATGAACACAGGCATTATAATTGGCTGATTCTTTACAGCTAAGTGGCGAACAGATGGTGGTGGCAGAGAAGAGATGACCCTGGCTGTGTCTTGGAGTGGAATACTCAGCACTGAAGAAGGGTGAGATGATTCTCCTTTTTGATAAAAAGCCGATAAACAGGTATTCGATGAAATATGATGAAATTAATGTATGTCAAGTGTAATTTGGATTTCTCTCTTCAGAGAGCGCGTGAGCAGCACCATCTGTATACCGCTGGCAAGCCAGAAAAGGTACTCTCTTTTTTTTCCTGAAGTATTTGTTATTTCTTGTATATAAATAACGAAGTGGCTTGATTGGATATGCATGTGTCCGTTTTTTTGTAGAAGCTCCACTGGGCGACCGGACTGGACATGTGTTGTTGTTGGTTTCACATCTGGCCATGTCCGCTTCTACACAGAGGTCTGCCACCTCCTTATTGCTTGCTGCATCGTAATGCCGTTGTAGTCAGGGAAGTTAATGTTGTTTTCACTAGAATGGAGTTCTGCTTCTGGCGCAACTGCTTCACGAGGACCAAGTCTTAAGGCTGAAGTGTCGCACGTATGAGATCCCTCGCCATCCTGGAGTAACTGAGCAGGTAGGAAATGAGTAAAATCGTGTTTTTTTTTTTTTTCCGCCCTCACTTTTATCTTGAATCTTCATTAGCGATATCACTAGTAATAGTAAAGAGAAGTGCAGCGAATAATCAGCAATCGATTATCAAATTATTGAACAGCTTTTTTTGC